TGGCCATATGGGTAGTTTCCCATTATAGCAGGATTGTTTGGATGTAAGTTTGGTTTCTCTTGGGTCTGTAGAGGAAATGCTGGGTCACATGGTACCACTTTGCCTGTTGAGGAGCTGCTAGATTGTTTTCCAAGAGGATTGTACTGTTTTACACTCCTGTGCTTATGGGTTCTAGTTTCTCTGCAGCCTTATTGAAACTTTTCTTTATTTTTCATTTTGGGCCACACCTGGTGATGCTCAGGGGTTACTCCTGGCTCTGCTCAGGGGAACATACAGGATGCTGAGTATTGAACCCAGGTTAGCTGTGTGAAGGGCAAGTGCCCTACCGCTGGGCTATCACTCTGGCCCCACCTTGCTGATACTTGGATGATCCGATCATTTCAATGCCACCATGCTGGTGCGTGTGACAGCAGCTCTGGGCATCTGACTGGGTTTCCCTCCTGGGGAGCAATGCCAGCAGCTCCCCTGTGCTTCCAGGCCATTCATTCCTCTTCCTTGGACAGATGGTCTCTCGGATCCTTTCACCGTTTTTGAGCTGGTCTGATGATTGAGTCGTGTTGCTTTCTTGACGTCCCTTCGATGTGAGCGCCTTGCTGGCAGGGCGGAGGCTGGGGCCCCTCCTGTCTCCCTGGCTTGGAGCCGGGCCTGCAGCACGGCCTTTGAGACAGACATCAGGATGTGTTGAGGGAGGAGGATCAGACCACAGGGAGACCAGTCTCGGCAGGATTGGAGGTCTGGGATGGCTCTGGGCCCTTCCTTCATACTTGCCACGCACTGTGGATGGCCTGGGAAGAAGCCACCAGGAGCCCTGGCCCTGCAGCTTTGGTTGGGTAGAACATTCCGTTCCATGGGCCTCAGTGAGACCAGGAGAGTAAGGGGGATACTGGGACACCCAGAGGGACCAAGTGTGTCCACGTGTGTGCCACATGGCGCGGGACCGGGCCTTCCGCCAGGGCAGAGGTGCCTCTCAGAGAGCAGGAGGGAGCAGGAAGGGGCACGAGGCCGAGACTGAGAGGAGTTTGCCGGGAACGGGAGGCGTTTCCCCCCCGAAGACCGAGGTGGTGAGATGGGCAGAAGGAGTCAGAGGGTGCTGGCAGCGGGCCAGGGTGGGCTGCGCCTGGAGGCCTGAACGAGGCTCCCATGGCCAGGCTGGCCCAGTGGGGTTAGGTGGGCAGGCCCACGATGAATAGGAAGGATGCCCACCGTTCGGGAGGTCTTAGCACGGGGGGTCCAAGGAGTGTGGCTGGAGGTGCCTGGCTGGTGTTTGGGGTGCGCTCTGGGCTGTGCTCGCCCCCCCGCCCACCCTCTGTTCCTTTCCTTCCCTCCAGTGAAATGGTTTGTCTGAGCTTGCTGGAGGCCTAGGACCGGAGACAGTAGAGCTGGCAGTGGCGTCCAGTAATGGGGTTTCCAGAGCAAGTTTGGTGCCAGAAGGTGCTCTCGATGGGAGGGGTGGGGCGGGGGGAGGCAGTCTGCTCTCTTCTTCTCGGGGAGACCCCACGCCCGCCGACCTGGGAGAGGAGATGGAGTGGAGACTCGGGTCCTCCAGCGAGGGGCGAGGGGCCTGGCTTCCCCAGTCGGCTGGGCCCCTGCCCGAGGCCTCTGCTACTGGCCATCTCTCCTGTGGCCTCTGCGAGATCTTGCCTGGCCTTACGTGGACTCCTGTGCTCTTGCTCCTGTTTTACGCATATGAGTGTGTAAAAGAACCCAGACACACACAGGCTCAGCATCACTGACTGCAGTTTCTGTGGCCATGGATTTGCTCATTGCTGGCCCGGGGTGGCCACGGGCGGGTTCTGGAGCCTCACGCATCTCCCAGGCACCCTGGAACCCCAGGCTCTCCTCGGGGCTTCCCTGCCAGGCGTCAGGACGGGAAGGCCCCAGGTGGCCCAGCCTGGTTCCGGATGAAGCTGTCACAGAGGAGTCACCTTGCTGATCACCTGGTTGGTGGACACTTTGGGAAATCCAGACACGTCCTCCTGTCAGCTGTGAACCTCCCAGGAAAGGCACTCCAGATGCAAGCATGCCAGGGCCTGGGCAGATGGGACAGGTTTCGGGTAACTGCCTTGCAAGGGCCCTGCCTGGCTGGACCCTCAAGGGGCCCTTGAGCTGTACTTGGGGCAGTTTGAGAGGCCCCTGAAAGCTGTGGGGTGGTTCTGAAGACCCCCAGGCCTTGCTGATGTAGCCCCAAGCAGCACCTTGTATCAGCCAGGTGCCTGACTGAGAAGTGCGGGGGTGGGGGGTGGGGAGGGCATGCCCCTGAGTACTGCTAGGAGACCCTCTCCCGCGTCCCCCAGAGAATCTGGTGTCTTCGTCCGTCGGAGGCCAGCAGGCCCTTAGCGCAGAGTCATTTGGGAAAAGGCCCGAGAGCCGGTGCCATTTCTGGCCGCTGAGTATCATCTCCAGTTGCTTGTTTTTTAATTTTTTTTTTATGTATGAAGAACCTTTCGAGTATATTTTCCCTCTTTCTCTTTTCTTCCAAATTGGCGTCCAGATATGGCTGGCATTTAATTTCTGGCCCCTTCTCCCCTCACCCCACTCTTTGGGCTTCTTGTATGGAAGTCTGATTTGATTTTAATGCTGTAAAATTAGCCACCGCTTTTCAGAAATGTAAACATCCACAGAGTAAGAGTCGGGCGAGACTGGGCGGGGAGGCGGGGAGCCAGTCTGTCTGCCTGGGGGTGCCCGGCTTCCTGGCAGGGCAGGATGAGGAACCGGGAGCCGCAGGCTGGACCTGATCTGTGACTGATGCCCACCCCCTTTGGGGGGGAGGGCTCTCAGCGAGGGGGCCCCCAGGCAGGGCCGAAAACCACCTGACAAGCCTGGACATGGTGATGGAAAGAACCAAGACAGTCGCTGGGGCCCTTCTGCCTGGGTCCTGGGCACCTGGCTGGGGTCCAGCTACCAGGAGGCTTGAACCTTATCCGTGAGGCTGCATCTCGGGGTGGGTCCCGGCAGGCTAAGTGGGTGGGGATGGAGGCCTCTGTGTTATTTTTGATTTGGGACCACATTGAGCTGAGCTCAGGGCTTACTCTTAGCTTCTGTGCTCAAAATTTACTCCTGGTGGGGCTCAGGGCTTGCCCCTGGCTCTGTGCTCAGGGGTCACTTCTGGTGGGGCTCAGAGGACCCTATGCAGAGCTGGGAATCAAACTGGACTGTGCCATAGCCTGAACGGCCGTAATATCTCTCTAGTGCCCCTTGGGGAGCGATGCTCTGTGTGGTTTTGACAGGCTCACAGTCCAGGTCTCTGAGGTGGGTCCCGGAGTCAACAGGGAGGACTCCTGCTTTGCTGGGCTGGTGGGCCGGTGGTGGGGGGGAACTGGAAGGGGCAGGAAGAGTTCCCACGGGCATCAGACACGGGGTAAGAAAGAGAGGTAAGGTGGGCGTGTGTGCGGCTTGCCGGGAGGTGATGGCAGAGCCCTGTACCTTCGGGAAGGAGACCCTGGCCTGGCAGCCATGTCCTGGGGCAGCGGCCCCTGAGGGCGAGGCCTGATGACCCCCGCCTCCCCCCAGCCGCAGCCTGTGCTCGGTGCTCCTGTCTCATGCCCTGAGCGTGTCTGTGGCCGCCTTTTTCTTCCCAAGCAAATGCTACAGTTCCTCTGCCTGTGGAGGTCCAGCTCAGACTATGAAGGAGCCTAAGGCCACCCCGGGGCTGCACCCAGGAAAGGAGAACCTGGTTTCCATGCAGGGGTGAGGAGGCGCGTGTCCCTCCGTCCCGGCCTGCTCTGCGCCCTGTGTCCTGGACTCGGCACTCTCTAGTTTGGTCAGGGGGCTTCCTGTTGGATTTCTTCCCCCTGCGGGACACTGATGGACCCGCGTGTCCTGGGGCCGCCTCCCTAGCTCTAGGTGGTGGTCACTCCACCAGCCCCTGGGTTCAGACAGCAGTACAGAGCCTACGGCTGGACTGTTCATGGGTCCGTCCTGGCCCTGGGCACCCCACAGTGAGATCAAGGAGAGTGAGCGAGGGAACGGGTGTGCCAAGGATGACATTTTGAATGGACACACTGGACCTTCCACAGACAATTCAGAGTGTCCTGACCAGTAGTTCCCCAAGGAAGCCCTGACCTTCCCCTGTGATGATCCCGGGGACAAGGTGTAGCCACCTGGTTGCTCAGTGTGCACATGTGTGTGTGCCCACACGTGCATGTCAGCATCCAGTGTGCAGCACATGTGCCCTTGTGTGTGTGTGCACATGTGTGAGGCAGGTGTGTGGGTACATCTGGGGTGTGTGTGCATGTCAGGATATGTGTGTGCCACAGGGTGTGTGTGTGTGTGATGATTTTGTGTATGTATGTGCATACCTGGGGTGTGTGCACACATGTATGTACATGTGTGTGTACCTGGGTGTGTGCGCATGTGTTGGTATGTGCCTTGTGTGTACACCTGTGTGTCTGTGTGTGTATAGTTGGGTGTGGTGCACATGTGTGTGTGCCTGGGTGTGTATATACCTGTGTGTGAACATGTGTGTGTTGGTATGTGTGCCTGGTATGTGCACATGTCTGTACCTGAGTGTGTGCACATGTGTGTTGGTGTGTGTGCCTTGTGTGCACACGTGTGTACCTGTGTGTATACTTGGGTGTGTGTACATGTGTACCTGGATGTGTGTATACCTGGGTGTGTACCTGGGTGTGTGCACATGTGTGTGTTGGTGTGTGTGCCTTGTGTGCACACGTGTGTACCTGTGTGTATACTTGGGTGTGTGTACATGTGTACCTGGTTGTGTGTGGTTGTGTGTATACCTGGGTGTGTACCTGGGTGTGTGCACATGTGTGTGTTGGTGTGTGTACCTGGTGTGTGCACACGTGTGTACCTGAGTTTGTGTATACCCGGGTGTATGCACACGGGTGTGTCGGGGTACGTGTGCGACTCCTGCCCCCCGTGTGTGCATGCCTAGGTGTGTGTGTGTGTGTGCTGGTGTGTGTCTGCAGACACAGAGGCGCCCTGTTCACCTGGACTCATGCTCTGCTCTCCCCTCTCTTCTCTGGCTCTCCGTGCCGGGGCAGGCGGGCCTCATCCGCACAGACAGCACCGACTACTTCATCGAGCCCCTGGAGCGCGGGCAGCAGGCCTTGGAGGCCGGCGGGAGGACACACGTGGTGTACCGCAGGGCTGCAGGCCCGCGCGGGTGGGCGGAGCTGCGCAGGGACCTGCACTATGAAGGTAGGCCGGGAGCGCCTCCTGGGGCTTCTCGTCAGGCTCCCCTTCCGCAGAGAAGCCCCGGGTGGCTTTAGGGCCGGCGCTGTGGAGACCCCCGACCTGTGTCTGGACTCCCGAGTCTCGGCGCTGCTTTTCAGTGGTCTCTTTCCCGTCCCTTCCCCTCCCCCCTCCTCCTGAGAGCTCAGAGACGGGCGCCCCTGCCGCCCAGCGCAGGAGCCTGGAGTAGCACCGGGGCTGCTCGGGACTCATGTGGCCACAGGAAGCAGAGGCTGCCCTGGCCCCGGCCTCGGGCCAACCTCAGGGTCCTCCTCGCTTGTCCCTGAGCCGTGAGAATCCTGGTCGCAGCCCCGCCAGGGCTGCGTGTCTCCGGGCCCAGGGAGGCGTGGAGGGTGCCCAGCCCCATGAGCCCCGAGTCCCGCCTGGAAGGCTGGGCCTGGTCACTGCCGGACTCTCCAGGTGGCTGTTTCCTTCCTCAGCCTGAGAGGCCGGTGGCATGGAGGCCGGCCCCGGCTTCTCTCCTGGAGGCCGTGTCTGCCAGACACCAGGGCCCGGCCCTCGGGCCGCCTGCCAGACGCTGCTTTTCATTTTTTAAATTGAGATCAAAATTCATCCTTTAAACCACTTAACATTTGCAATTCAGGCATTCCACCCTCTCCCCGCCCCCCCCCCCCCATATGCAATGTTGCACAATTATCACTAATCCCATTTCTCCCATTTAAAAAAATAAATAAATCTGTGGATGGGCTGGACAGATAGTCCAGGGGTTAAGGCACTGGCCTAACCTGGTTCCTGGTTCCATCCCCGCGGCACATCCAGTCTTCTGGGTCCTGCCAGGAGTGACCCCTGCGCGTAGCCTCCCCTCCCCCAGTCCATTATCCGTCACTCCCGTTTTCCTGCAGCTCTGAGCTCCCTCCGGTGCTCTCTCTCCGGGGCCGTCTCACAAACGGAAAGAGCCGCTTTGGGGACGGCCTCGATCATGCAGCGTGTGAGCCCGTGCTCCCTTCCCCGGCAGCGGAACCCCTGCTGTGTGGCCTTTTGTGCACCCTCATGGGCTGATGGACATGTGGCTGTCCCCGCTCCCGGCTCTCCTGATAATGCGGCTCTCACCTTGGCACAGTCTTCCCTCATGTCTCCAGTGCCCTGGGCACACACCCTGTGTGTGGTTCTGGCCCTTTGGCAGCACTGTGCTGGCCTCCCGTCAGCCGTGTTCAAAGCAGCCGGCTGTGTTATGTTCTCCGAGGTCCCCCTTCATGGGAGAAGCCTGGGGCCCTGCCCACAGCCACCCCGCTCTCCCGAGACGTGCAGGGGCTGTAGAGGTGCCCCCTACCTCCTCAGCTGCTGGCCCACCCCCGGGGGAGGGGGTCATAGCTCAGGGTAAATGTCCCAGTTCTTGCAAGTTGGTGGTACAGATAGCAAGACCGCAGAGAGGGGCAGGTGGGGAGACTCTGCAGAGACCCCAGCTTCCTGTCCTGCTCCCTGACCTCCCCTCAGGGCCCCAGGGGACTGTGGTCACTTTCCCTCCACGCAAGGATTTCAACTCATGGTCTGCAACCATTTCACACCCGCAATGGGAGAATTAAAACTCACTGTCCACAATAAATTTTGTGTGTGGATTTAAAAACCTCGCAGAGGGCTGGAGAGATAGCACAGCGGGTAGGGCGTTTGCCTTGCACGCGGCCAACCCGGCTTCGATTCCCAACATCCCATATGGTCCCTTGGGCACCGCCAGGAGTGACTCTTGAGTGCAGAGCCAGGAGGAACCCTGTGCATCACCAGGTGTGACCCAAAATCAATCAATCAATCAATAAAAATAAAAACCTTGCAGAGTAAAATAAGAATTTCACCCAGGTATGCTGTGCCAGGCAACAGCAGCCTTCATGGACCAGTGGGAAATTTCTGTGGCCAGGCACTGGTCCGTGGACCAGCCGTTGGAAGCCAGTGGTACAAATGACCTAGGATTGCTTGAAGCATGACTGGTCCTTGTGTCACTGCGGACGGCGATGCTTCACGGACAGTCTTGATTCAGAGAGACCTGGAGAAGCTGTTGTGAGCCTCAGTCTGTTTGTCTGTAGAGTGGGACGGTCCGCCGAGTAAGACTGGTGGGCCAAGAGGGCCCTCTGCTCCTTAGGGTGAATAAAATTTTACTGCCACAGAGTTGCCCTTATTAGTTTTTTTTTTAAATATGGTTATTTTTATGCTTTTGCTGGGTTGGGTAGGTGAGGCTCACAAAACCTAAACTCTCTGCTTCCTGCCCTTTCCAGAAAAAAATCTGACACCACACGGATTACACAATGCAAGTAAACAGACGTCACTTGCATAAATGTTTTGCTGTTTGTCAGACTCCAAAGCCGTGAGGGTGAACTTTGCGGTTGGGCCTGCGGTTGGGAGGGACTCGGGCTCAGGGGCAAATGCCAGGGGTTCCTCCGCACCCCGCACTTGCCACCCCCACCCCATAATTGCTCTCCTTTATTTTATGATGACTTTTGTTTGCTTGGGCGGCCACACCCAGCAGTGCCGAGAGCTCGCTCCTGGCTCTGAGCTCAGGAGACCGGGTGGTGCCGGGGCTCGAACCCGAGTCTGCCGCATGCCGGGCAAGCGCCTTGCCGCTGTGCCAACGCTCTGCCTTTGTGAACGGGCTGGCACGCCCCTCCCCTCCCCACCACCTCTGACAATTCCGGGAGCTCAGTGGGGGGAGAGAGGAAGGGGTTTTCACCCACCCCCCGTCACACTCCTGTGATGTATGTGGGGCCAGGGCTCGGCTGAGAGTGCTCCCCGCTCAGACAGGGCGCAGTGGAAACTCACGGAACTTTCTGCCCTGCACCATCTCACTTCCCTGCTGCTCACCGCCAGGAACCTTCGTCCTGCCTGGTGCCCAGCTGGCAGGGAGGATCTACACCCCCTCTGCTTGGGCTTCAGGGGCAGCAGCAAGAGGGCAGCTTGGGATGGTGGGGACGCCAAGTGGGCAGCGCTGGGCTCCTGAGGCTCTGACCGTGCTCTTTCCCTGTCCTGCTTCCAGCCTTCGGCCTGGGCGATCTCCCCAACCTCCTGGGCCTGGTCGGGGCGCAGCTGGGCGACGCGGAGCGGAAGCGGCGGCACGCCAGGCCGGGCGGCTACAGCATCGAGGTGCTGCTGGTGGTGGACGACTCGGTGGTGCGTTTCCACGGCAGGGAGCACGTCCAGAACTACGTCCTGACCCTCATGAGTATCGTGAGTGCCCGCGTGCTGGGCGGGGGGCGCCCGGGGTGTGGGGTGGCTGGGCCACGTCTCTCGGGGACAGTATTTCCTGGGGGGGGGGCAGCAGGGCAGTGGACAGCCCCGGGTGTGCTGGGCGGGCTGACATCTGTGCCAGGCTGCGGCCTGATCTCAGCTGGACACGTTTGCGCCGGCGTGCCCGAGGTAACCATTGCCCTGGGACAGGGTCAGGGGCTTGGGCGTGTTGAAGGCCGGATCAGGCGTGGTTCGGGACCTTGCCTTGGAATTGGAGGGCGTCTCTGAGATTCTTCCCGGGGAGAAGATGCCCAGACGATGACCGACTCAGGCTGGGAGTTTTGTTTTTGGCCACATCTAACAGTACTCAGGGCTTACTCCTGGCTCTGCGCTCAGGGATCACTCCTGGCAGTGCTCGGGGAACCGTATGGGGTGCCAGGGATCAAACCCGGGTTGGCCGTGTGCAAGGCAAGGAACCCTACCTGCTGTCCTATTGCTCCGGCCCATCAGGCTGGGAGATGTTAACTCCCCCCCCCCCCCCCGCCCACTTTATTAAACTGTGATGTACAGAGTCATTCCTGATGATCTGTTACCGGCATATTCCAATACCAATCCTTCCACCCCTGTCGCCTTCCCTCCACCATTGTCTCGAGGGGCTTCTGGGGGACAAAGCCAACATGGAGTTCTGATGAGTCCCTTCCCCACCCTGCCAAGAGGCAGGTCCCAGCATAGATGCTCTCGGGACAGGAGGCTGTTCTCGGCAGAAGGGAGGTGGACGCGGACGATTCAGCAACAAAGCGTCTCTCCGTGCCGGGCGTTCCCATCCTGGCTGAATGAGAAAATGCCTGTGTTGGGCTCAGGAACTCGCTGCCTCTGAGTAGACCTTCCAAGGCGGAGGAAATGCCGATTAAGAACATACGGTTTTATTTAGATGCCGTTTGGTCTTTTCTGCTGCTGGGGTTGGCCGGTAGCTTCGGTAGCAGCTGGGGGCTGGAATGCAGCGGGGCAGGGGCTCTCTGCTGACCTAGACCTCTGCACATTCACCGCCTCTGTGCCCGGGGTCATTCTATACTCCCAGAAATAAAAAACGGGTGTATGGTAACAGTCCTAATCTGCTCACTGCGGCAGGAGCCTGGGCAGATCTGATCGCCCGCTCACCAGGGAGTCCCAGGAGGAAACAGGGAGTTTTGAAATGAGTGTGAGGTAGAAAGCTTTGCAGGGGAAGCAGTATTTACCTGTCTTTGAGCCAAGAATCAGGCATTGCGGTCAGCATCTAAGGTGTGCTTGACGGCACTGGGTTTAGGTAAAATCTACATCTAAACCTGGCAGTGCTCGGAGCTAACTCCTCCTGCCTCTGCACTCAGGGTCACTCCTGGCAGGGCTAGGGGGTCCCTTTGTGGTGCTGGGGATCAACATGGGTTTGATCACGTGCAAGGCAGGTGCCCTCCCCCTCGGCCGTCTCTCCGTTCTTACTCTCTGGCTTTGCAGCCCGACCTGGGTCTCAGATAGCAAGCTCCATTCATGGGGTAGGAGTTCTGCGACTTGTCTGGCTCGAGGGCTTATCCTGGAACCTGCAGCTAGAGGGGCAGCCACCTCACCCAGGGCACCCCTTTGGCTGGCCATGACATCTCTCCGCAGCTAAGGGCTAGAATATCCCCGACCCCCACATTCCGACTCACCCTTGCAATCCCTGGGTGAATGGGCCTGTGTGGATCAGTGGCCTTCCTGCATGCGCTAACCTTCTGCTGACCTTCCTGCACACGCTGACTTTCCTCCATATACTGACCTTCCTGCTTGCGCTGACCTTACTTCCTGTGCTGCCCTTCCTGCTGCCCTTCCTGCGTGTGCTGACGCTGAGGGCAGGCTGGGTCCACTGTGCAGAGCATGGCCGTGTGCGGATGGGGTCAGCTGATTGTTTCTGGCAGCAAGCAGACGAGCTTCTGGGACAGCTGTTGGGGCTCAGAGGGAGCAGAAGGGGTGGTCTCTGCCCTCAGAACCTCCAGAGATGTTTGCAGATGACTGTAGAAATCTCTAGAATCATATTTGAGCAACCCTGGGTCATGGGACTGTTGCACACGTGACCTCCTTTATTCGAGCTTCCTAGAAACCCAGTGTGATTCTCTGCAGTACCATGTCTTGACCTGGAAACCGGGGCATTTGATCGTTTGGCTGCCCCCGGCTGGGCTCTGGGTCAGGGCTGGACACCGGATTCAGGGCCTGGTGGTCGTGATTCAGTAGCGACAGAGGGCTCGGCATCTGAGGAGGTGGTGGGCACCAGAGCAGAGCCTCTCCGCAGCCTCTGCCGGGTGTGGAGCTGCATGCCCAAGGCACTGTGACGAGCCCAGGGTGTGCAGGAGGAAGCAGCTTTGATCCATCGTTTGTTCAGCTCCCAGGGACCACTGAGAGAACAAGGCAGCCGCGCAGTCTGTGAGTGCCTGTGTGAGTGTCTTACTCTCTCTGGGCGAGGGCGGGGACCCAGGCTTAGCTGGAGAAGGGAGGAGACAGCAGCTTTCTGTGGGAAGGGCAGAGAGGTCTCTAGGGAAGATACGTGGGCTTTCAGGAGAGCAAACTAGAGATCAGAAGTTGGCGAGAGTATTCCTTTATGCTGGAACACATGATCTTTCTTTTATTTTTTTAATCCCTGAAGCACCCCCAGGAGAGAGGCGTGGGAGTAGCCTTGTCTCCCAGATGTTGCTGTTTTGCCAGATAAGGAAGACTCCAAGAATGCTTCTTGCATCTGTTGAATCTCAAATGTCTCAAATGTAAAGCAAGCTTTATACCAGTTCTGTGGTTCTGTGTGGTCCAGGACCTTTGAAATAGTTTCAGAAAATGTGTGTGTGTGTGTGTGTGTGTGTGTGTGCATGTGTACCCCTGAGTACTCACCCCTAAGAAACCCATATATTTGTGTGTGCCTTTGGTAAGTCTCCCACCAGAACCTGGCAGTTCTAGACGTATCCAGGACCCATTCACATGTCTCCAGAGGGTCACCGCAAGCAGCTTGGGACCAGGGGTGAAAGGGATGCTCCCTGGGGCCTTGGAAAAGGTGAACCCTACCTCTGGCAGTGAGGTTAAGAAGGTGATGGGAGGGGCTGGAGAGATGGCACAGTGGTTAGGGCGTTTGCCTTGCACGCGGCCGACCCGGGTTCGATTCCCAGCATCCCATATGGTTCCCTGAGCACTGCCAGGAGTAACTCCTGAGTGCAGAGCCAGGAGTAACCCCTGTGCATCGCCAGGTGTGATTTCCTCCGCCCCCGAGAAAAAGAAGGTGATGGGAGGGATGATTGGGACTTTTCCCCCAACAGAATTGGGGGCTTCCCATATTCTGATTGCTTACCCACTGAGGCATTTCATTTGGAAGGTGAACTTTCTTTGCTTTTGAGCTACGCCTGCAATGCTCAGGAGTTCCTCCTGGCTCTGCATCAGGAATCATTCCTGGTGGTGCTCAGGGGGCCATAGGAGATGCAGGGGACCAAACTTGAGTTGGCTGCATGCAGGGCAAGCTCCTTCCCTACTGTGTTATGGCTCTGGCCCCACGGAAAGTGGACTTTTGAAACTTGCTGCCTAAAAGGCCGTGCACTCCTGGGTGTGCAGCTGGAGAGATCACGTGGCTGGTGTCGGGGAAGTGGGTGGGCCATTCTCCATAGCCTTGGAGCTTATTGGTGCAGATTCTTTCTTCCCTAAGGTCCCTAAAACTTTATTCTTGGAAGAGGGCAAACGAACACATGCTGACTTACCCTCTGATCAAGCCACTCCTCCGTGGCTTGTCTTGGGGATGCTTGTCTTGTCTTGAGTTTGTCTTGGGGATGCTGATTTCCGTGTCTGGGCTCCACCTTCCTTCTGTAGCCCGCCAGAAACTAGTTGAGGAGGGGAGGCCCTGTCTTCTGGGGGCGTCTGAAAGGCTGGATGGGATGCTGCTTCTTACGCCGCGTTACTCTTGTGAATAGGTGTGGGCGTACATGATGGGTGGGTGCTGTTGGGCTTGAGATCCCAGGAGACAGGGTGTTCTGGGGAGGGACGCTCACAGCATGAAGACCAGCTGTACTAACACATTGGGGCTGGTGCTGCCACTTGTGTTAATTAAGCTTCAGCCAAGGGTGAGCCACGGGTGGTCTCTGGTGGGAATCCCCGTTAATGAGGGGCTGCCTTCTGAACACTTCTGGGGGTTCCAATAAGTGACAAAGAAGCTATTGCCGCAAGCCTGTGGGTGCCACAGGGAGAAAGCAGGTGTGGCCTGACTTCCCAGCCAGACTGGAGCTTTTAATGGGGTGCGTAATGCACGGATTCCCCTGGGGACCTCGATTCCTACAGGGAGTCTGGGAAAATCCCTAGCTTGTTTGCCGGAGGCCGGTTCTGATCCACTTTTCCTGGGCTGGATGGCCTAGTGGGGGCGGGGAGGGGGGAGAGAGAGCAAGCAAGTAAGTGAGAGAGGGAGGGAGGGAGGGAGAGAGAGAGAAAGAGAGAGGGAGAGAGAGAGGGAGAGAGAGGAGAGGTGTTGGGCGAGGCTTCCAGCGAGACGAGTATTCAGCACCTTCTCGGGGATGGACTGTGATCTTTCCAGGCCTTTCCTACTGGGGACTGTGAGCTTACTCCAAAGTGGCTTTCCTCCCCGTCAGTGTCCTCCTCTTCCCTCTGGGTTCTCTCTCCCCTCCCCCACAACCTTGCCATTGCTTTTAGGGCCCTCAGAGACCCCCCAAAACAAACTTCTTACAGCGTGTGCTGCTCCTGGATCTCCCATAGGGGGTGCTGTGTTTGGGTCTCCCACCGTGGGCACTGCACGTGAGTCTCCCCTAGAGGGCGCTGCACCTGGGTCTCCCCTAGAGGGCGCTGCACCTGGGTCTCCCCTAGAGGGCGCTGCACCTGGGTCTCCCTAGAGGGCGCTGCACCTGGGTCTCCCTAGAGGGCTCTGCACCTGGGTCTCCCCTAGAGGGCGCTGCACCTGGGTCTCCCCTAGAGGGCGCTGCACCTGGGTCTCCCTAGAGGGCGCTGCACCTGGGTCTTCCCTAGAGGGCGCTGCACCTGGGTCTCCCTAGAGGGCGCTGCACCTGGGTCTCCCTAGAGGGCGCTGCACCTGGGTCTCCCTAGAGGGCGCTGCACCTGGGTCTTCCCTAGAGGGCGCTGCACCTGGGTCTCCCTAGAGGGCGCTGCACCTGAGTCTCCCCTAGAGGGCGCTGCACCTGGGTCTCCCTAGAGGGCGCTGCACCTGGGTCTCCCTAGAGGGCGCTGCACCTGGGTCTCCCTAGAGGGCGCTGCACCTGAGTCTCCCTAGAGGGCGCTGCACCTGGGTCTCCCTAGAGGGCGCTGCACCTGGGTCTCCCTAGAGGGCGCTGCACCTGAGTCTCCCTAGAGGGCGCTGCACCTGGGTCTCCCCTAGAGGGCGCTGCACCTGGGTCTCCCTAGAGGGCGCTGCACCTGAGTCTCCCTAGAGGGCGCTGCACCTGGGTCTCCCTAGAGGGTGCTGCACCTGGGTCTCCCCTAGAGGGCGCTGCACCTGGGTCTCCTTAGAGGGCGCTGCACCTGGGTCTCCCTAGAGGGCGCTGCACCTGGGTCTTCCCTAGAGGGCGCTGCACCTGGGTCTCCCTAGAGGACGCTGCACCTGGGTCTCCCTAGAGGGCGCTGCACCTGAGTCTCCCTAGAGGGCACTGCACCTGGGTCTCCCCTAGAGGGCGCTGCACCTGGGTCTCCCTAGAGGGCGCTGCACCTGGGTCTCCCTAGAGGGCGCTGCACCTGGGTCTTCCCTAGAGGGCGCTGCACCTGGGTCTCCCTAGAGGGCGCTGCACCTGGGTCTCCCTAGAGGGCGCTGCACCTGGGTCTTCCCTAGAGGGCGCTGCACCTGGGTCTCCCTAGAGGGCGCTGCACCTGGGTCTTCCCTAGAGGGCGCTGCACCTGGGTCTCCCTAGAGGGCGCTGCACCTGGGTCTCCCTAGAGGGCGCTGCACCTGAGTCTCCCTAGAGGGCGCTGCACCTGGGTCTCCCCTAGAGGGCGCTGCACCTGGGTCTCCCTAGAGGGCGCTGCACCTGAGTCTCCCTAGAGGGCGCTGCACCTGGGTCTCCCTAGAGGGCGCTGCACCTGAGTCTCCCTAGAGGGCGCTGCACCTGGGTCTCCCCTAGAGGGCACTGCACCTGGGTCTCCCTAGAGGGCGCTGCACCTGGGTCTCCCTAGAGGGCGCTGCACCTGGGTCTTCCCTAGAGGGTGCTGCACCTGGGTCTCACAGAGGGCTCTGCACCCAGGTGTCCCATAGAGGCCGCTGTACATGGCAGTGCAAAGGCTGGACGCCGTGTTGTCCAGTCCGCATCTTTTCTTCTGGGGTGGCTGGGTTCTTGCTGGACCAGGTGCCAGCTGGAGTGCCCTAAGCTGAGGGAGTGAGTGTGGCTTTGGTCACTGCAGTCTGGCTCATCCTGGCTGGCTGGAAAATGGTCTGTGGGTGCAGGAGCAGCCCGCCAGGCCCCCTCCCTGCAGGGTTCTCACACGTTTGGGGGGCGGCAGCTTCCTGAATAGAAGCTGCTTTCTCCATTCGTGAAAGCAGGGGCAGTGAACTGAAGGCTGACTCAGTGTCCCCGGGGCCTCCTGCCTGGGTCCCAGCATCATGCCCATATGCTGAGTTGGCATGAGCCCAGTGGCCCGAATCCCGTGCTCAGAAGTCCTTACCTGGCGTGGCCCAAGTCCCGCAGCTCCAGGAGGGCTGAAATAGGGTAGTGTGCCAGGATCCCAGCCCAGCGCTGAGTAAGGGCATTTGCATTCCCGGAGTCACACTCCTGCCGTCGAGAGACAGGAGCATGCCTTGCACCAGGCCAATCCCGCTCTGTCCCTGACACCTCACTAGTTCCCTGAAAACCTCCAGAAAGGTCTCTGAGCGCAGAGCCAGGAGAAGCCCTGAGCAGCACCAAGAGTGCCCTCCCCACAGATAAAATAATAATTAAAAAAATTTATATCTGTTTTTCCTTGCAGGTGGACGAGATTTACCACGACGAGTCTCTGGGGGCCCATATCAACATCGCCCTGGTCCGCCTGATCATGGTGGGCTACCGACAGGTAACCCCCTGCCAGTTGGCTGGCTTTGGGGACAGAAGGTGGCTGGGGACACAGCTTCAGATTGGCTGCAGAGTGGCTTCTTGAAAACGCTTTGTTGCCAGAATTTTCTCTGGAGACTGTGAGAATTGACACTTCAGTGACTGAGGCGGTTGGGGTTAATCACTGGGATTTAGGGGTTCCCTCCAGTCGATAGCACAGCAGTAGGGCCTTTGCCTTGTGCGCGGCTGGCCTGGTCGAGCCAGGTTCAATTCCTCCCTTCCTCTCGGAGAGCCCAGCAAGCTACCAAGAGTATCAAGCTACCCGTGACACATTCAACATGCCAAACACAGTAACAACAAGTCTTACAATGGAGACGTTACTGGGCCCGCTTGAACAAATCGATGAACAATGGGAGGACAGTGCTACCTCCAGTCTGCTAAACCATCACTTCCTCTACTCACTGCCGGAATTCCCTCTCCTTGAGGAGGAGACAGTGGGGAAGGGAAAAGGGACTGAGGGGTGGCCACGGGGACCCCGGGGTGCCCATCTCTGCAGTCTGACACTGTCACTTCTCTCCCCTGGGTGGGGGACCCACCACGCCTTCCTCTGGGCCTCCTGAGTGGTTGGGATAACCCAGTGGCATGGGGGGGGGCAGGGAAGTGCAGAGACAGCAGCTGGAGTAGTTGAGGCCGCCCTGCAGTGGCCGTGCCCTGCTCTCCCGTGGCCTCTGTGTCTCCCCCCATTGCTGACAGGCGAGCTGGGGACATGCCCGCTGCCGTCTGGGGGCTGCGACTGACCGACCAACTCACTGACCGACCGACTGACGTGTGCTGTCGCCCGCCCCCCACAGTCCCTGAGCCTGATCGAGCGTGGGAACCCCTCCCGCAGCCTGGAGCAGGTGTGTCGCTGGGCGCACTCCCAGCAGCGCCAGGACCCCCACCACGCCGAGCACCACGACCACGTGGTCTTCCTCACGCGCCAGAACTTCGGGCCCTCAGGTAGGCCGGGGCAGGGAGCGTGCGGTGGGAGGGAGAGGCCCGGTCTGGGCGGGCTCGCGCTGGGGTTTCCTGACGGCACAGGGAGCAACTGACTCAGAAGTGGGGCGCTGTGTGATGGATTCTGGGGCCCGTGGCAAAGAGGGGTCCCGACTCCGGTTCCTGCTATCATGGGTGGGCTCGCGGTGTGCCAGACCGTCCACGCCCCGGCAGGTTCCAGGTGCTCTGAGTGCATCGTGCCCTGGGCCCGGGGCCTGGCAGTTGCCTCCTGTGGGCTCAAAGGGTCACTGTTCTCACTCCAGCCACTCTGGCCCCGTGATGGGAGCACGTCCCTGGGAGAGGGCCCCGGCAGGGAGGGGCAGCCCTGAGCCAGACCAGAGGCCCGGGCCCCGTAGGGGGGGCTTCGGGTGTTGGCCGATGTGGGCAGGGACCATGGGCTATCCCTGCTCCCAAGACCCCCAGTGCCACCCCCAACTCTGAGGGCCTCGGGGCCCTGCTGCAGCCCCCTGTCCCGTGCACAGCCCTCTCCTGACCCCAGTCCTCTCACGTGTCGGCCAGGCCCAGCTTTAAACCCCCCATTAGCCGTCAACCCCTGCACCCCCTCAGCCGAGCACCTTTTCTTCCTCCTGGCCTGCAGACCCCCACTTACACCCTGCCCCCGCTCAGGGCCGCTGTGTGTGTGTGGTGGGGGGGCAGGGAGGAGGGCTTTGGAGCTCCTCGCTGTGCCCCTGTGGTAAACAGCCCCTCCCCGCCCAGGCAGTTACATGAGTGCTGAGTGGGCCTGGCCGTGTCCTGCGTGGAAGCCCCTCGTGTCTTGTTGTGTCTTCCTGGGGCATAGGAAGTCCCAGCTGGGCTCGGGTCACTCTCTGCAGGTGGCCCTGGGGAGGCCCGTCCTCCTCCAGTGGCCCACTGCTGTGACGGCGGGGACAGACTCTGCCTCTCTCCTCCCCCAGGGTACGCGCCCGTCACAGGCATGTGTCACCCCCTCCGGAGCTGCGCCCTCAACCACGAGGACGGCTTCTCCTCGGCCTTTGTGGTGGCCCACGAGACCGGCCACGTGTAAGTGCGCTGGGCCTGTGGGTGGGGGGCACCCCAGATGTGCCTCCAGGGTGTGTGTGTGTGGGGCCAGCCCCTAGGGGTGGGAGAATGGGCAGGTGGGACAGGGGTGTGGACAGGTAGGACGAGGAAGGTGGGCAGCTGGGATGGGGGTGTTGACAGATGCGAGAGGGGGTGTGGACAGCTGGGTCGGGGGGGGTGGGCAGGTGGGACGGGGGTGTGGACAGGTGGAAACTCCATTCTGCTCCACCTCAGGGCTCCCCCTCTCGATCCCAGGCCCGGGGACCAGGCGTGGCTGCCACGAGGCTGTTAGGGCCGGTCCTCGCGCTGGCGGCTTCTCCTGGTGGCCTTTGCCCCTCAAACCCATGCAGCCTCGCAGCCCTCGTCGTGCTAGGGCAGCGTTCAGGAACGGGCAGTGGGGCGCGTGGGCCTCAGGCCAGCTGGTTACAGCGTATGCAGGCGGCCCCTCTGCCGGCCATGGTTTTCCGGGGGCCCTGGTCTGGGAAACGGGAAGGGAAGCTCTCCAGAGCCGTTTGCTGAAGGAGTGAGCCAGCAGCTCAGAAGCTCTGGGCTCCAGCGCACCCATGAGAATTTCTCCAGGGGCTGGAGTGATGGTGCAGGGGTTAAGTGCTTCCTGGGCACTCCATGGACACCTGGGCATGGTCGGGGTCAGTCTGGAGGGCTCTGGACTGGGCATGGCCAGGAGGGCCCTCTCGACCCCAAGGCAATGGAAAGGAAGAGAAGGTCTTGGCGTCCGTGCCAGGTTCCGTGCTCAGGAGCGCGGGGGCTGGCAGGGGGCCTGAGGGGTGGTGGCTGGCTCCCGGGGCACCAGGAAGGAGGCCGGACTGAAGGCGTGACAGCTCTGCCCTCCGAGGCCTGGTGGTCGAGATGCAGACACAGACGGACCCAGGAGGGGAGGCTCCGGGGCTGGAAGGGGATTCTTGAGAAGCCACGGAAGCTTCGGAATGTGGGTGTGGTTGGGGAAGGATGGGGCGTGTGGGAGAAGAACAGGAGTAGAATGAGGGAGGTTCCCGGGAGGACCAGGTGGGCGGCTGCTCCCGTGGATGGAGGAAGGGGGAGAGGAGGAGAGGAGAGAGAGAGAGAGACAGACAGACAGACAGACAGACAGAGAGGGAAAGAGAGACAGAGAGGGAGAGAGAGACAGAGATAGAGAGACAGAGAGGGAGAGAGAGGGGGAAAGAGAGAGAGGGAGAGAGAGACAGAGAGGGAAAAAGAGAGGGGGAGAGGGGAGAAGAGAGAGAGCGAGGGAGAGACAGACAGAGAGAGACAGAGGGAGAGAGACAGAGAGGGAGACAGAGGGGGAAAGAGAGAGAGAGAGAGAGCAAGGGAGAGTGAGCGCTGGTCCTGCGTGGGAGAAGACAGCGAAGGTCCATCTGAGCCCAGCGAGGTTGGGTCCCCCACCCTGCTGCCCCCGGGTAGGCTCTGAGCCGTGACTCGGGGGCCCACACCTCTCCCCTGCACCCCCAGGCTTGGCATGGAGCACGACGGGCAGGGCAACGGCTGCTCCGACGAGACGGGCCTGGGCAGCGTCATGGCGCCCCTGGTGCAGGCCGCCTTCCACCGCTTCCACTGGTCACGCTGCAGCCGACTGGAGCTCAGCCGCTACCTCCCGTACGTGGGTCCCCTGCCCTGGGGCCAGTGTCACATGCCGGCCACCCCCTCCCAGCTCTGCTCCCCTCAGGAGCACACTCACGTCCCGGCCTCGCTGGCCAACACCAGCCCCCTAGGGCAGAGGCAGCCTTGGGGGCCGTAGTCCGGCCTGGGCATGGGGATTAGAGAGACTGTGTCGGGAGCGGGTGCGGCCGAGCCAGTGCCCTCCGCGTGGGTGACTTTCCCCTCATGAGGTGAGTCCCAGCTTGTCCCCAAGAAGCCCTTAGCTGGGCCGTAGCCCACCCTTCTGTCGTGGGGGGCATGTGCTCCCGAGCCCCCCGACGCGGGCCGTGATGGGAACGGGGTCCTGCCTGTCTGGGGAGGGGGGCTTCCTGCCTCTGCCCACTCGCCTCCCACCCCCGCAGCTCCTATGACTGCCTCCTCGATGACCCCTTTGAGCCCGCCTGGCCGCGGCCCCCCGAGATGCCCGGCACTGACTACTCGATGGATGAGCAGTGCCGCTTCGATTTCGGCTCGGGGTACCACACCTGCTCTGCGGTGAGTGGCCCCCACGGAGCGCGGCCCTCCACTGACCCTGCAGGCCGGGGGGATGCCTGCGGGTGGGCGCCTGCCCACTGGGACGATGTCAGGCCCGGGGGCTTCAGCGTGCCTGCTCTGCCTGCCCCATACATGGCACAGAACAGAATGGCGGGTCCTGGCAGAGTGCGTGGGTGGGGGAGGGGCGGGGGGCAGGGACTTCCTGGGAGCTGTCCTAGGGGACAGGCCCAGCCCCCTGCCGGAGCACGCTCGTCGCCTGTCCTCGGGGCTTTGAACGGACGTAGGCCGCAGAGAGCTCAGGGGTTAAGGGCCTGCCTTGTGTGTGTGGTTCCATGAGATTGACCCCGGGGTGATTCCTGGCACCATATGGACCCCGGTCCCACCAGGAGTGACCCCTGAGCACAGCCAGGTGGCCCCAAATGAACTGCAAGTGGTGGGGGGCACTTCTCAGGGCCGCCTCTCCTCCTGAGTGGAGTCCCCTGCACTCTCCTTCTCTGGGCACTTCAGGAGGGGCCTCGGTCCTGCAAGGGCCACAAGCCCTGGATGCAGCCCCCAGCTGGACATGTGTCCACTGCACTGGTGGGGGACAGCCCGGGCAGGGGTCGCTGAGCACTGGCGGCTGAGGGGAAGGATCCCCCAGGACTTCGGGGTGACTTGGAGGCTGCAGGGGTCCCCCCACAGTGGGACGGGGCAGTGGGAGGAAGGAGGGGTCTCCCGCTTGTCTGATGCTGCTGGCTGGGCTGGGCTGCTCAGATCTGCCTGGACCCTGTCCCTCCAGTCCCCAGTCAGTGAGGGGGCGGCTTCTGCGGGCCTGGCAGAGGGGGCCCGGAGGGGATGCCGGCAGGCGCCCCTTCTGCCCAGAGCATCTCTGGAGGCCATTGGCACTAGGATCACTCTGTTAGTGGTGTATGTGTGTGCGTGTGCATGTGTGTGTGTGCTTGCCTGAGAGTGTGTGTCATGTATGTGCATGTGTGTGCGAGCGTGCATGCGTGAGCATGTGTGTAAATCTGGGTGTGTGCCCGTGTGTGTGTGCATGTGTGCAAGCGTGTGAATGTGCATGTGTGTGTTTGCATGTATGCATGTGTTTGCATGTGTCCTTGTGTGTGAGTGTGCATGTGTGCATGTGAGTGTGGTCATGTGTGTGAGTGTGCATGTGATTGTGTGCATGTATGTGCGTGTGTGTATGTGCGTGTGTGAATATGAGTGTGTTGGTGTATGAGTATGTGTGCGTATGTGGATGTGAGTCTGTGTGTCTGAGTGAATGTGAGTCCAATGGTTGCATATGTGCATGTGTCCATGTGCTTGCGTATGCGTGTGTGTATATGTGTATATGTGTGTATGTGTGTGTGAGTGCGTGTGTGCATGCGTGTGCATGCGTGTGTGTGCGTGTGTGTGCAGGTGTGCGTGTGTATGTGCATGTGTACATGTGTGTGTGTGCACGCGTGTGTATATGTGTGTGTGTGCGTGTGTGTATGTGCGTGTGTGTGGCGGGGGTCCTGTTTCCTCCTGGCAGGACCTGCGCCTAGCATCACTGGACTGCGGCATGTGCTGCCGAGCACACCCAGCCCGGTGACCCCGGCCCGCTTGCCCCCCAGTTCCGGACCTTTGAGCCCTGTAAGCAGCTGTGGTGCAGTCACCCCGACAACCCATACTTCTGCAAGACCAAGAAGGGCCCCCCGCTGGACGGCACCGAGTGCGAACCAGGCAAGGTACCCGCGGGGCCGGCTGCACGGCCCAGGGCAGCCCCCATCTTCCCACCAGGGCGAGGCGTGGGCGGGAGCCCTCAGTAGAGGAGCCCGCAGCGATGGTGCCCAGGAAATGCCAGCTGCACGGCCCGCTCCCCTCTCTGCACTGACCGGCCGCGGGGGGCAGATCCCGCTTGTCCCCCCACCCCCTGCTTCCGGGTTCTCACTCCTGTCTTGCGGATGAGGGGAGCGCCAGCTCAGGAGAGGGGAGACCCCAGCATCCTGTCGCTGGGCTCACGCGCCCTCCCTGTCCCAGGCTGACTCATCCTCGCTCAAAGTGTGTGGCCAGAAACAGCCCCGAGTCCCACCCCTGACCCCTGTCCTACTACTGGCCCTGCCCTCCTCTTTGTGAGGTGACCTTGGGCCCCTCTGGAGCTTCTTGGGGCCCCGCTGACCCCAGACCTGGGGTCCCTCCTACTCCTGGTTGTTCTGAGTGATTGGGTCACGTCACAGCAAACGCGAGGATGCAGAAGTGGGTCCGAGGAGGCCTGTCCCTGCCCCTGATCACGCCAGGCTGAGTCCACTCACTGCCGAAAGGGTCTGCCCCAGGCCCCATGACCTGCACACCCAGCAGCGCTCACTGATCCAGGCACTCCGGGGACCCTGCAGGTCCAGCTCTGTGGCACAGCCCTGGACACACAGCCAAACACGGCTCTCAGTTTGGGGGGGTTATTGGGAGCCTTAAACGTCCTTAGCTCTGGGCCAGAGTGGTTGAATAGGGGTTAAGGCGCTGACCTTGCGTGTGTCTGAACCACATCCGATCCCTGGCACCCCACGGTTCAGACATGCCAGGAGTGATTCCTAAACATGGAACAGGTGTGTTTAGGGCCTAAGCACTGCCAGATGTGCCCCTCCCCCAAGAAGAAAGTCCTGTATGTAGGAGAAGGGTGACTGAGATGGGCATGAGCTGTGTTAGGTGATGGAACAGTTGGGTGTTGGGGAGGGGTTATGAGATGAATTCACGGGTCGCTGACGCTCCTGCTTCTTGAGATGGACCCCGTCCGTTTGGGGTGGAGCTGAGGAGGCACCTGGACTTCAAAAACGACCCCCAGGTCATTTAAAATGTCCCTTTGGTTGAGAACCACAGAGCTGTCTCCTAGGAAAGATGCCGAGCTTGCCAGTGCTTTTCCCTCCTGTGCTCAGGGAAGGGGAGGTGGGTGAGTGTCCCGTGACTCTTGCATGGCTCCCGGTCCCGGGCCCAGGCTTGGAGGTGCGGTGGCCCCTGGTCCTTAGAGCAGTCCCACTGAACAGATGCACCCACAGGGGCTCAGCCAGCGGGAGTGGCTGCCCATGGCTGAGCTGAGCCTTCTTCCATGGCGTGGGCCCCTAGGGTGCCTCCAGGAGCTGACCTGGAGGTCCGGAGCCGAGTGGGGGAGGTTCTGTCTGTGGCCAGCCTGATTCCCCTGCGTGCCCGTGAACCTCCCCGCATGCTCCCGGCCCTCGAGCAGGCAGAGGACCCCCAAACCGAGCAGTGGAGGCCGGGCTCAGAAATGGGAGAGAGGGAGCTGATGGTTGGGCGCTGCCCCTCTGGGGGCTGGGCGGGGTCCCGTGCCAACCCCTGTCTCTGCTCTGAGTACCCATGTTGGTGGGTGATGTCCCAGGCCCGGGGGAGGCCCCGTGCCCAGCCGGACAGTGCTGGCTCCAGGGTGACGGTGCCCTCTGCTCTGTCCCAGTGGTGCTTCAAAGGTCACTGCATCTGGAAGTCTCCGGAGCAGGCGTACGGCCTGGACGGCGGCTGGAGCTCCTGGAACAGCTTTGGGTCTTGCTCTCGCTCCTGCGGGGGCGGGGTGCGGTCCCGCAGCCGGAGCTGTGACAATCCTCTGTGAGTGGGCGTCGGGGAGGCGGGGCGGGGACCCCCTTCCCGGGCGGGGGGGGGGCAGTGGGAACAGAGGGGACCTTGTGTGGGAGGGCTGACATCACCCGAAGAGGGGATGTCCCAGTTCTCCTGTGCGTGTCTGTGTGTACCCTCATGTCTGGGTATGTCTCTGATGTGTGTCTGTGTGTGCATGTTGCGTGTCTGCACACACAGACATACAAGAACATGCAGATACACCCACACACCCACACAGATCCAGAGAGACACGCAGAGCTATGCAGAGACACAGAGACATGCAGATACCTACCCAGGCACACACAGATACACATAGATGAACACAGATATGTAGATACACACCCACCCACAGACACACAGACACACACAGGCATGCAGATACACATCCCCACACAGAAACACATAGACATGCACAGACACACAGAGACACACAGACATGCAGATGCATACCCAGGCACGCACAGATGAGCACAGACACTTCGAGGCATGAAGATATGCACTCAGGCACACATAGGCATGCGAATGCACACACACACACACACACACACACACACACACACAGAGGACTGGGTGAAACGTGCCTCAGGCATGGGAGAGGTGCCCTGGGAGGAACCTGAGCTCAGCGGCCGCCCGGTGGGGTCATTCCCTTGGTTAGGCTGAGTGGGGCTCCTTCCTTGGGTGCTCCGGGGTCTGCACTGCCTGGGATACCCCGTGGGAAGCCCTGCCTGGCCCGCCTGGCCCACGGAGGGTCACAGCTGCCCTGTGTGTGCCCAGCCCAGCCTACGGAGGCCGCCCGTGTGCGGGGCCCATGTTCCAGTACCAGGTCTGCAACAGCGACGAGTGTCCAGGGCCCTACGAGGACTTCCGGGCCCAGCAGTGTGCCAAGCGCGACTCCTACTTCGTCCACAAGGGTTCCAGGCACCGCTGGCTGCCCTTCGAGCCCGACGATGGTGAGTGGCCACTGCCGCGCCCCCTTCCCAGCTGAGACCACGGTCTGCCCATGCCTGTGCTGTGAGCAGGCTTGGGCGCTCACTGTCCCCCCTTGGAGCTGCCCCTGATCTCTGCGCTGTGGACGGCAGATGTCTGGCTGGGGCCCGTCTCCAGGTGCCACCTTCTGCGTGTCCCCAGCGGGCGCCGCTGCTGTCCTGGTTTGGGGCCATTAAGCCCGTGCCGGCGCTTCCTGGTTCTGAGTGTTTCTGTGCCGTGAGAGGCTGGAGTCGGGGGTCTTTGGAGCTGGAGGCCCGGGCACGTTGGGGTCCCTCCCGCAGTTGAGACATCTCCCTAGGCCTTGACTTCCGCTCCCTGCAGACTCTCCCTCAGTGCAGCCCTGGTCTGCGGGTGTCCCTGGACCCTCGGCTCCCCACTGGCATTCAGGCAGGGCGTCCTAGATGTGTCCAGAGCCTGCGGGCCACAGACCTCTCCGGAACATTCCTGGGGGCGTGTCTTCCTTCTCTAAGGTTTTTCCACTCTGGGGGGCTCCCCTGCTCCTTGCCGCTGTCTGCTGGCTTCTTTGGCCAGCCAGGGACCCTCTGCCCCAGCCAACTGGTAGGTCGGACTTGAGAACCCCCTTTGCCCCCGCCCTCCACCCCCCAGCCAGCTGGATCCTGAACGTGAGATCCTAAATGACATTAGATGAGGAACGGGAGTGGGGGGCTGGGGGGGCAAAGCAGGGACTTTGCACTGGGGCGGAGGAAGGGGTGGACCTGCTGTTTAGCCAATGGAGTGGAAGCCCAGTAGGGGGCAAGCAGGGCTGAGGGGCAGGGTCCCACCTTGCACCTCCCCAGCACTCTGAGAGGCTTCCAGAAAGTTCGCTCAGCCCAGCGTGCCCTTCTCTGAGAAATGCAGGAAGCGTTCTTCTCCTTGGAGAATGCCAACGGGCGTGGTGGGAGGGACCCACGTCCCTGTCACCCAGACCCCTGGCGTGCCCGCGGGGAGGCGCTGCTGAGATCCGCCCCCCTGTGCCAGGCACTGGGCGGCCAGAGCAGGACCCCACTGGGGTGAGGGTTCAGGGGGCGACCCCCCAAGCGCCCTGCCTGACTCAGGGGCTGCAGGCCTTGCCTTCCAGTGCTACGGCCGGCAGTGCTGGGGGTGGGGAGGCGGTGGTGGGGGAGATAGGAGGTTCCCCAGCCTTAACCCCTGAGCCGTCTCCCCTGTCCCCAGAATCCTGGTTCTTCTTCTCCCTGGTGGCTCTGTGACCTCTGACAAATGCCTGAGCCTCTCTGGTTCCGGTTCTTGCTGCTGAAGTTGCAGACAGCACCTTCACAGAGGGCTTGGAAAGCTGTGTGGTGGGTCGGGGCTAGCATGGGCGTAAGGCGCCTGCTTTACACATGGCAGACCCGGGTTCTACTCCCAGCACCGTGCTTGCTCCACCCTGAACCCCGCCAAGAGTGATGGATCCCTGAGCACAGAGCCCGGAGTAAGGCCTGAGTACCACCTGCTATGTCTCCCTGACTGAAAACAAACCCAAAATCTTGTGCATTAAGAGTGGTTGGAGGGCGCCCGAGTGACAGTACAGGGGGTTAAGGCCGTTTGCCTTGCAGGCAGCTGACCCCGGTTCGAGCCCCAGCCTCCCATATGGTCCCCTGAGCACCGCCAGGAGTAATTCCTGAGTGCAGAGCCAGGAGTAATCTCGGAGCATTGGCAGGTGTGGCCCCCCCAAAACAAAAACGAGTGGGTGGAGGTGCATGTGGCAGGCCCCTGTCCCTGGCCGCTCGCTCGCAGTGCTGTTAACGTAGTTTCACACTTGACTTTACCCAGAAGCCCGAGGCTCACTGAGTCAGGCGCGGAGGCCCCGAGAGGCTCCGGTCACCTGCCCGGGGTCTGGGACTGAGCCGGGAGCCAGAGCAGGGACCTAGGGCCCCGCTCACTGGCGCGTCCCCGCACTGCGGCCCTGAGCCCGCGGGGCCAGCAGGGGCTCAGGCTCGCTCTGGCCCACAGACACTCAGAAGTGTGAGCTGATTTGCCAGTCGGAGGACACCGGGGACATCGTCTTCATGGACCAGGTGGTGCATGACGGCACCCGCTGCAGCTACCGGGACCCCTACAGCGTCTGTGCCCGAGGCGAGTGTGTGGTAGGTGTTCCCTGGGGGACCCCTAGAGCATCTGTGCCCGAGGGGAGTATGGTAGATGGCCCTTAGGGGGACGTGTCCAGCGCCCTCCGCCTGCCTGGTCTGCTCCCTGGGAAGCCAGCCTCCCCTCCCCAACCCTGTGACACCCCATCGGACAGCCCCTGTGACCTTGGGATGTGCAGAGGCCCCACGCACCTCGTTCTCAGGGCGAGCGGTGGGTGGGCCAGCTCTCAGCCCTCCCCTGTGCCAGTCCAGAGTGAGGGCTGGGGGCTCGGAGGGACCCGGGTGGGGGCAGGGCCGGGGCCACCCCTGCTGACCTCACCTCTGGCCCTAGCCTGTAGGCTGTGACAAGGAGGTGGGGTCCATGAAGGCGGACGACAAGTGCGGGGTCTGTGGCGGCGACAACTCCCACTGCAGGAGCGTGAAGGGGACGCTAGGCAAGGCGTCCAAGCGGGCAGGTGAGCGGCCGCGCTTGGTGTCTGCGCGGGCCCGGGTCAGGGCGGGAGAAGCTCCCCTGCTTTCCCGAGCTCCCCCTGCGTCTCCCACGCCCCGGGGGGCCGCTGGCCACAGACGCCCCGGAACCCTAGCACTTTCCTGCCAGGGACTGGAGACCTCGCTGCTGCCCGGGCCTCGGAGGAGAGACGGGGCCAGTGGGTTTGACCGAACGTGACCTTCGCTTCTTTTCTCCTCTTGTCTTATTATTGTTATTATTACTATTATTAATTATTTTAAGACTGTTTTCTACTTTGAGTCCCTGGTACCTTTTGGGTGTTCTTGTCGCTTCCTCTGTGGTCAGGCCAGCTATTGAAAAGGGCCACATAGCCGTCCTTTACACTTTAGTGCGAATTAGACCCACTCTTCCTTCAGGTCGGCTACAACTCTGCCTCCTCTCTCTTGTTAGGGGTTCTGGGATACCAGGCTGACTCTTCGTAGCCTGTTTGATCTAAACTCCGGCAGTAGCCCCAGGTGTGAGAAGAAAGCGGGGAGAGAGGAAATCTGGAGAGGAGAAGGGTCAAGAAAGTGGGAGGGTGGGGGGTGAGCGATAGTCCAGCAGCTGGGGCATTTGCCTTGCACGCTGCCCACCTGGGTTTGATCCCCAGCATCCAATACCCAGGAGTAATTCCTGAGTGCAGAGCCAAGAGCAAGCTCTGAGCATCACTGGGTGTCCTCGCCCTACACCAAAAATTGGGAGATTGAGGCTGGAACATAGTAGGTGGGTGGGTCGTTTGCCTTGCGTGTGGCCCACTCAGGTTCTATCCCCGCATCCCATATGGTCCTCTGAGCATGGCCAGGAGCAATTCCTGCTTGCAAAGCCAGGAGTAAGCCCTGAACATTGCTGGGTGTTACCCCAAAACCTAGAACATGTAGAAAAAAAATCCTCGTACTAAGAAAGTGGAAGATGACAGGACCCAGTGCTCGGGCACTCCCAGCGGGCACTTCTCACTGGAGCCACAGTGGGGGCCTGGGTGGGGTGAGTGGGGTCTGCACTGTGGCTGGCGGCTCATCAGGCTCACAGCTTTCCGTGGTCCTTCTGTGGCAGGAGCTTCCCAGCTGGTGCAGATTCCGGCAGGCGCCAGGCACATCCAGGTGGAGCTGCTGGAGAAGCCCCCCCACCATATTGGTGAGTGTGGGGAGACTCTTCCCTCCCCCCACCCAGCCCCGGCCTGCCCTGGACTGGGGGCCTGTGAGTGGCATCTTCCCGCGGGGACTTCACAGCCTGGAAAAAGGGCGGAGAAGCCTTTGGATTCCAGTACTAGGGACGTGTTTGTTTAAGGTGGAAGCAGCTGGTGCTGCCCCAGTGTGTCTGCCAGGATGCTCCGTCTAACGCAATCACAGCTGGGCCTCTTGGCTGCTGGATGGAGCTGGGGATCTGCGGAGGGCATGGGGCCGCAGGTCCCAGGGTCAGCCATGCGGTCCTGAGAATTGTCAGAGTGGACAAGACCCTGTTGCAAGATCCTTTCAGGCCTGTCTAACGCCCAGGGGGCTGACCAGGCTCCTGGTTGTGTGCAGACCATCGTCCAGTGGGGGACAGTGAGGTCCCAGGGTGGTCTGCCCCAGGCCCCCTTCAAGTCACTCCCCTGACGGTGCTTAAGTCTGCAGTCGCCTAACTAGTCGCCAGCCCTTTATACTTAAAAATCACGACACAAGAACCAAGAAAGGCAAGCTGGGAAGTTGTGTGTCTGGGTAAAATCAGTAAGATGCAAGTGAAGTTGGGCTGGAGAGAGAGTAGGAACTCTGCTCAGCGGGGTTCAATCCTCAGCACCTTAGAGAGTCCCCTGGGCATTTCCAGGGGTGGTCCCTAGACGCAGAGCCAGGAGTAAGTCCTGAGCACTTCAGGGCGTGCCCCCTCCATAAAAATTCAAATGAAGGAATTCCTGGCGTGGGAGAGACAGTGTCTTCGTTGGCTCTGTTCTGCTTTCACTGACTGAGCCGGCAGCCGGACAGGAACGGTTCCCTCTAGACAGACAACCCCGCGGGACACAGGATGGAGACCGGTGGGGGCTTGTTGAGGCCGGGGAATGAATGCTGATGGACTCGGGTGTCTCTGGGGGTGACGTCAGCGTCCTCACATCGGAGCGCAAGAGCTGTACAAGCTCGCGGATAAGCTTGAGCTTGCCAGGTCGTGCGCCTTCGAGGCTGACCATGTGGTAGGTGGGCGGCTGATGAGGTTTCCCTTGCAGGCACCCCTGAAGGGCAGCCAGCTGGACACTTCTCCCTTGCGGAGGGCCTGGGGTGCATTGTCGCTGGGCCTCGCCTGTGGCAGAGGGCCTTCCTGCCCGCTGGTACCGGCTCCTGGCCTTGGTCGCAAAGCCAGGTTCAGGGAAAGCCTCGTCCTCCAAACATGCATGTGTGCTTTTAGGGGTCATCCAGGTATCAATCCCCACATGATCCATGTTCTCCCAGGACTCACTCCCTGGAGAAACCGTCCATGTCAGCACAGCCCTGCTTGTTTCCTAACGGAGGCTCTGGACAGGCCGCATGGGCCCTAGGCAGGGTGGGCTGCAGACTCTGTGCTCTGAGCCCCCCTCCCCCGGAAGATGTAGAATTGGTCTGGAGCCACCCACGGGGGTGCTCAGAGGCTACTCCCAGGGGCTACTATCTCTGCACCAGGGCCTAGATTGGGAGCCGGTGGAGGCGGGGCCAGCCAGCCCTGCCCACTGGCCACTCTCTCTCTCTGGAATTGTGCCGAGGGGGAGGGGGAGGGGATGGGGAGAAGCGACAGGACCCCCTCCCCTGCTGCCTGCTCATGGCACCCCAACGCAGGTATTGGTGTCCCCCAATACCTAGAGTCCAATCCCTACTGCCCTGGAGGCCGGAGGCTCTAGAAGCTTCTCCAGAGGTTGGGGCAGAGACCCCTCGAATCCAGGGCAGGCTGTGCGTGCAGTTGGGTGACAGCGGGGGCGGGGGGTAGGTGTGTGTCAGGAACGGGGGCATCTGTACCAGCCTTTGGCTGGCCCCGACGCGGCCCTGGCCTGCCTGAACAGGAGTGACCAGTGCTTCTGGAGGGGAACAGAATCCTTGTCCCTTTCTCCCCGGCCAGCGGTGAAGAACCAGGTCACAGGGAGCTTCATCCTCAGCCCCAAGGGCAAGGAGGCCACCGGCCAGACCGTGATCGCCATGGGCCTGCGGTGGGAGTATGCTGTGCGGGACGGCCAGGAGAGCCTCCGGACTAGCGGGCCCCTGCCGGAAGCCATCGCCGTCCTGGTGAGCCCGTCCCCTGCGTGCCCCGCTGGGAGGGGCGCTCCATTCCTCACGCTCCAGGCTCTGGAGGAGCCGTGGTCGGATCAGGCTTCTGGGAGGGAGGAGGGACTGAGAAGAGGATGGGACACACACCAGGCCGCCTGCTCATGGTCCAGGCCAGCCCAGAGCTGGGGGCGGAGGCCGTGCGGGGTCAGCCTGCAGAGTGGCCCTGCCCAGGAGTGGCTCCCTCCCTCCCTGGGGTTCGCCAGCCCAGCCGGGACAGGGGGCCTTTCCTGGCCGGCAGTGTCTTTGGCGCTGGCTGGTGCAGGCTTTGTCCTCACCGGCGCAGTGGGCAGGGTCTGAGCTGCCCTTGTCAGCATGTCGGTTCAGCCCAAACTGGGTTTTCTGTGTAGCTCTGTTTGTCTATTCATCATCCTTCCCATCCACGATTGATTTCCTACCTACTGATTTTCAGTGGAGGTACCAAGATCAACCCCTTGAAGAAAAGGGTGATCTCTTCAACGAACGGTGTCGGGATCCCCGGGTGGGCCTCTGCAAAAGGAGTGAAGTGACTCCACCTGGCACCACACAGAGAAATGAACTCAGGGGCTGGAGTGATAGGACAGTAGGGAGAGCAGTTGCCTTGCATGCGGCCGACCTGGGTTCTATCCCCGGCATCCCGTATCGTCCTCCAAGCACTGCTAGCAGTGATTCCTGAGTGCAGAGCCAGGAGTAACCCCTGAATATTGCTGGGTGTGGCCCAAAAGCGGGGGCGGGGGGAAGAAAAAAAAGAAATGAACGCAGAATGGGTCGGACGCATAACACAGTGCTAAAATCAGAGAACCCATGAAGGAAACAGATACATCTTGTGACCTTGGATTCTGAGGTGGTTCCCAACGCCTGAGAAACGAACAGAGAGAAGTAGGTGCAGGGCTGGCGAGAGAGGACAGGGGTATGCGTGTGGCCACCCTGGTTTGGTCCTAGGCAACATAGATGCTCTCCTGGGCTCAATGTCCAGCTCCACGTGCTCCCCATGGTGTCTCCGGGTGTCCCCTGGCACCACGGGGCCCGAGCCGCTGCATCTCTTCAGACTCTGGAGCTGAGCTGGCAGCCTGGGTCCCTCCCCCGCCCCGCTCCCGAGCACTGCTTGAGAGCCCCCCTCCCAAACAGAAGCCCAGCCCAGTGTGGAGACAGGGTCAGCCACCACTTTCCTGATGACATCTGGGTTTCAGACCTTTCTAAGCCAGGCAGACGCCGCAGTGAGTGGCCGGGCCAGCAGACGGGGTGGCCTTCTCTGAGCCCGTCTTCACGGCTTCCTGCCCGTGTTCTTCCGTGGGGTTCGCGGGGGTGAGGGGGGCTCAGGGCTCTGCCCCAGGTCCAGCACAGGGCGCCATGTACCTCTCGGTCCAGCTCTGCGCAGCTCGAGGCATCTGGGCTCCGGTGGAGCTCACGTGTGGGGAGGGAAGGCCTGGTGGGTGCACTGCGCTGGGCCTGGAGTTTGCCCAGTGGCCTCCCGGGCCACCCTGGTGAAGTTCCCCTGCTGGTCTGCGTCGGACCCCACACTCCTCCCTGGGACCCCCTCCCAAGCTCCCGTTGGCCTTGCTCTTCTGCCCCCTGCCCCGTGCAACCTTCTCTGTCTCCCCGTCGCAGGTGCTGCCCCCGACCGAGGGTGGCCCCCGCCGCGGCCTGGCCTACAAGTACGTCATCCACGAGGACCTGCTGCCCCTTATTGGGGGCAACAACGTGCTCCTGGAGGAGACGGACACGTATGAGTGGGCGCTCAAGAGCTGGGCCCCCTGCACCAAGACCTGCGGAGGAGGTACTGGGAGGGACCGAGGAGCGGCCAGGGGGCTACAGGGGGCATCGTCTCGACTCAGCATTCCCCCCCCTTCCTGTGCTGGTGCCTCAGTTTCCCCTAAAGGGATCCAGGAATGTGGAAGCCTTTGCCATGGGGCCGGGTGCTTCTGGGGGATGTAAAGGGTCACCACCTGTGCAGATGGCTGTCACGGAACAGACTGCACCAGGACGCGGGTGACGGGATGATCAGGACAGGACTGGGGCACGAGGGGTGCAGAGACACAGGATGGCTGAGGCAATGCCCTGCTGCCCCTCCAGAGAGAAGAAGGGTGGCTGAGATCAGGCACAGGGGCCCTGGGACCAGACACAGGGGTCCGGGGACTGGACACAGGGGCCCTGGGACCAGACACAGGGACCCTGGGACTGGACACAGGAGCACTAGGGCTGGACAGAGAGACCTTGGGATTGGGCACAGGGGTCCCGGGACTAGATACAGGGGCCCCGGGACCAGACACAAGGGCCATGGGACCAGACACAGGGCCACAGGACCAGACACAGGGGTCCGGGGACTGGACACAGGGGTCCTGGGACTAGACACAGCGATTCCAGGACCGGACACAGGGGCCCCGGGACCAGACACAGGGTCGCCGGGACCAGATATAGGGATCCGGGGACTGGACACGGGCCCCAGGACCAGACACAGGGGCCCCGGGACCAGACACAGGGATCCCGGGACTGGACACAGGAGCCCTAGGGCTGGACACAGAGGCCTTGGGACTGGACACAGGGGCTCTGGGATCAGATACAGAGGCCACGGGACCAGATACAGGGACCCACAGGGGTCCCGGGACTAGACACAGGGGCCTTGGAACAGGACAAAATTACCCTGGGACTGGACACAGGGGCCCTGAGACTGGACACAGGGTCCCAGTCCAGGGGTTGGGATCAGGCACAGGGGCCCTCACCTGCCCACAGGTGTCCAGTTCACCAAGTACGGCTGCCGGCGTCGCCGAGACCACCACATGGTGCGGCGGCCCCTGTGTGACATCAGGAAGCGGCCAGAGCCCATCCGCCGGCGCTGCAACCAGCACCCGTGTCCTCAGCCCGCGTGAGTGTCCGGCGGGTCCCAGCCTGCAGGGCCCCGCCTGCCCCAGCCCTGCTGCTGAGGACTCGGGTTCGCTTCCACCCCTTCTCTGAGCCCGTCTTCACGGCTTCCTCCCCCTGTTCTTCCGTGGGGTTCGCGGGGACTCAGGGGGCTCAGGGCTCTGCCCCAGGTCCAGCACAGGGCGCCATGTACCTCTCGGTCCAGCTCTGCGCAGCCCCGATGCTGCCCGGCCAACCCCGGACCGGAACTCTCTGGCTTGGGGCAATTGGAGGGGACACAGGGCACAGGAAGGGCTGCGCCTAGTGGCCAGTGCAGGGCCGAGCTGCTCAGCCCCAGGCGGGGCGGGAGAGCTGCGGGCCAGGCCCTGCTCTGCACACCCCTTCCCTGGAGGGGCTCCCCGCCAGGACGATTGCCCCGTCTCGTGCTGGGGCCAGGAGAGAGCCTGCCCAGGCCACTCTGTGCCCAGCTGTGGCCCCAGCCCCTCAGCCCTTCCTCCGCCCTGTGTGGCCTACAGGTAGCACCGTCGTAGGGCTGAGGGCCGCTCCCAGGCCTGGGGTCCAGGGCAGATCACCCCGCCTGGTGTCCATTTATTATGTTGTTTGGGGGCCACACCTGGCGGTGCTCAGGCGTCCTCCTGGCTCTGCACTCAGGAGTCCCTCCTGACAGTGTGTGAGGGAGGGACCACGCAGGGTGCCAGGAATCGAAGCAGGGTCAGCCGCATACAAGGCCAGTGCCCTCCTGCTGTGCTGTCTCTCCAGAGCTCTGGCCGGCTTCTTATCTGCAAACTTCCCAGGGGAAGCTTAGGGGTTTTGGCTCATCAGTTCATTTTTATTTCTTTATCGGGCGGGGGGAGGGGGTCCCACACGACACCCAGGGAACCTGGGACCACTCCTGAGGATCCTTGGCCAGTCGGGCAGTAGTTCAGTGAAGCGCCTGGACAGTGCCTCTTCTTGATATGCATGCATGTGTGCACACACCAGCACACACGCATACACACACACGTGCACACACACACACACGCACACACACGTGCACACACATACATGCATGCATACATATACAGTTGCGCACACATACACACATGCATATACACATACACAAAGGTGTGCGCGCACACATGCAGCACACACACATACACACACGCACACACACGGACACCTACGCGCGCACACACAGTGATGAGGTATTGGATTTGGAGGGACAGAGGGGGTCGAGGAGGCTCAGAGGGGTCCTGGCTGGCCCTGGCCTTCAGAGGAGAGAAGGGGGAGGACTGCGTGTGGGGGACCCTCTGGGGGACGTCTCACCGGGCTCCACATCCCCCCGCGTCTGCTCTGCCTCCAGGTGGGTGACGGGGGAGTGGAGCCCCTGCAGCCGAAGCTGTGGCAAGCTGGGGGTGCAGACTCGGGGGGTGCAGTGTCTGCTGCCCCTCTCCAACGGGACTCTCAAGGCCGTGCCAGCCAAGACCTGCCCCGGGGAGCGGCCCGAGGCCCGGCGGCCCTGCCTCCGTGTGCCCTGCCCCCCGCAGTGGCGTCTGGGAGCCTGGTCGCAGGTGAGTGCTCTGCGCTTTGGGGTGGAGGGGCTGAGAGGAAGTGGGTCTGGGTGCGGGAGGCTCCGAGGGACTCGGGACGCCCCGGCAGGCGCTTTCTGGCTTTTCTGAGCTCAGCCAAACGGTCTGCGTGCGCTGGCCAGACTCCGGTCCAGGCCTCCGCCTGCCTCCCCTTCTCTGCTTGAGCCTTTGTGCAGAGCCAGGAGCCTGGGCTGCTCGGCCTGTGTCACAGGTGGGCGTCTTACGGCACGCTCTAGGATTCAGGAAATGGTGCCTGACCACCCTCCTGGAGATGCCCACGTCCACCACTGGCCGGGAAAGAGTCTTGTCCTTGTTGAACTTCACGTCCACGGGAGTTGGGGGAAACAAAGGAGATGGAGAGAAGAGACCAGTAAACCCGTAACAGACGCACTTGCCACCGCAGTCGGTGCTGGATGGGGAATCAGTGGTGATATGATCTGGATTGGGAGTGGTCAGGGAGGGCTTCTCTGAGGAGGTGACACTTGCACTGAGGCCAGAAAGATAAGCCACAGGAGGACTGGGCCCCAACATCTCTTCTAGGGAGACGTGCATTCGTGGGCTGTACCTATGGTAAAATCTTCCACAGCAGGAAGGAATCAACCTGAGTCACTTTGGCCGCCAGCACTGCTGGGTCTGACCACAGGGTCACCCAAGCCTCACAGCCAGGCAGAGAACTAATGGGAGCATTCCCAGACTCCAGAACACTGTTTGTGAGCACCCCAGTAGTGGTGTATTTGGGGCAGGCTTGAAAAAATATCTAGAAAAATCTGAGAAAATTGATTTCTATGGGAAAAATCACAAGTAGGAAGGAAACTCCCCACTTCCCCCGGGCTGTCAGGCACTGAGCATTTAAAAATACCCATCACTAGGGCCAGAGCTGTAGCCCAGCAGGGAGGGTACTTACCTTGTGCTTGGCTGAACCTGGTTCAGTGTCCAGCATCCCATAAGGTCCTCTGAACACCACCAGGAGTGTTCCCTGAGTGCAGAGCCAGGACTAAGTCCTGAGCATCTCTGGGTGTGCCCCCCCCAAAAAAAACAACCAAAAAATCTAAAAAGACCCAGCACGATATTTATTTTTTTTATTAAAATTTATTGGATCACCGTGAGATGCAGTTACAAACTTCCATGATTACGTTTCAGTCGTAACAATACTCAAGCACCCATCCTCCCACCAGTGCACGGTTTCCACCACCATTGTTCCTAGTATCCCTCCCGCCACCCCAACCCCATCCCACGCCTGCCTCCGTGACAGGCACCTTCCTTCTGTCTCTCTCTCTAATTTGGGGCATTATGGTCTGCCATACAGATACTGAGAGGCCATCATATTTGGTCCTTAGTCTACTTTCAGCACACGTCTCCCATCCTAGGCTGTCCCTCCAACCATCATTGACTTGGTGGTCCCTTTTCCATTCCACCAGCACATGAGGCTGCCAGCACGATATTTAATAAGATGCCGGGACCCTGATTTGCGGCCTGTGTTTGTGCAGGGCTCCAGTCCCCCGACTCCTCGTGTTCGTAAGCATGAAATACTGCACACTAACGGTTTTGAATACCTCCCCATGTTCGTGCCAGGGTCCTGTCCTCTGTAATAGAGAGCTTTGCTCATTTTACTGTCCAACAGAAAGACAGCAGGTTCCCAGAGGGTCCCATAAATGAAGGAAGCAGAGAGGAGACAGATGTGGCAGAATAGTGGCCCCCGAAGATGGACAAAGCACCCCACTCTCACCTCAGTGACCCTCCTGAGGGGAGCGTGTCTTGGCCCAAGCATCTGCGTGACCCCTGCCCTGCGGGTCTCTCCCAGGCTGGGACATGTCCCACCTGAGAAGTGTCCTCCCGAGTCCCCCCCTGAGAGACTGCTCCTGACCACATGGAGCACCCCTCCTCTCCCCCTTGCAGAGTTGCTGGTGTGTGTGGGAGCACGGAGATGGCTCCAAGGCTGGAGCACAGCCTGGCATGCACTCGGCCCCAGGTCTGACCTGGCACCTCAGAGCCCTGGTGACCGCCAGTCCTGCTGGACCTGACCACAGGGCCACCCAACCCTCACAGCCAGGCAGGGAGCCAGTGGGAGTGTTCTCAGACTCTGGAGCACTGTTTGGGAGCACCCCCAATAGTGGTGTACTGGGCACAAGCTTGAAAAATATCTGTTATCTATTTCCTGCCGCCCTGCACCTAGCCGTTCCCTTGGGGGCTGCTCTGAGACTGACCCTACTGTGTCGAGTCACCGAGCCCCCCCATGCCGAAGACAGGCTGGCCTAAGGAGCCTTGTGGACCCCCATAATTGGGTCCCCTACCTCCTGGGAACAGGATGCCCTCAGTGGTTGCCCCACCGCCCCCCTCCCCCCAGCTCGTTAGGGTCCAGGCAGAGAGTGGCTGTACGCCGCGGGGTGCGGACAGGGAGTCTGGGAGTCACTGCCCAGCTGTGGGGACCCTGAGCTGCTGGAGGGCACAGGATCCTGACTACAGGGCGCAGCAGAGTCTGTGCCCGCCAGAGAGCCTGCACTGCCGCTGACTGCACTCTGGCATCCATGTCCTTCCTCTCTCCTCCCGCCTGCCTCCCCATGGCCGGCCTGGTGCTCCCTGGGCAGTGCTCTGCCTCCTGCGGACTGGGCATCCAACAGCGGCAAGTGGTGTGCCGGACCAGCACCAACAGTGTCGGACAGTGTGACGGGGACAGGCCGGACACCGTCCAGATCTGCAGCCTGCCCCCCTGCGCAGGTGAGCGGCGTGGGGTACGGGCATGGGTCTGAGATCCCGCGTGACTCACACCCGGCCTTCTAGAAACCCCACCGCGAGCGCTGCTTCTGTCCACTCACAGGAAGTGTTCAGAACACCACAGTGGAGGCTGACAGTCGGGAGCTTGAGAGCCCAGAGGGGTCACCGTCGGGGCCCCTGCATCCCGCCGACCAGATGCCACCAGGTCAGTGATTTCCCCGGCCTGTCACTGGCCAGTCGTCACAAGCCAGGGCTGTGGACTGAGCTGACACGGCTCGCAGTCTGCCGCGAGGCCCCAGGTTCCTCCTGCGGGAGGCGGGGGTGATGTTGGCATACCTTGACCTTATCTGCAGCCCTCACATGTCCGTGTGGCTGTGGAATCTGACCTGAGCTGTGAGAACATCCTCGTCGCTCTGTGGAAACACCGTGAACATTTCAGTCATATGGCGGTCACTTCTGGGGATATTATACACGGGTATGCTAAATATCACTTGCACAGTGCCCAAAGTTCTGAATTCTGAATCCGATTTGGTCCCAGGTGTTTGGGGAAGCTGCTGTAGGTCTGAACGGTTTTCACCAGACTGCGAGTGAGTTAGCGCTCACGCAAGCCCTCCTGCCCCGCTGTCACCAACAACACAGTCACCTCTCTGCCTGTGATCAGGAGCCTGTCCACGAACCCCCCATCCCTCCGCCTACCACCAGTCCTTCCATCTGCTCACACAACCCTCTGTTCATCAGCCGTTTCCCTGCCCAGCCTCCCATCCATCTTTCCCACTTCACCCTCCCCTATTGGCGTCTGTCCTTCCACCGTTCACCTGTCCATATTCATCCATCCACTCATCCACCCACCATTTATCCATCAACTCATCTTCCCATCATTCATTCATCCACTCACCCACCCATCACTCATCCATTCATCCACCCATCTATCTTTCACCCATCCTCTCACCCACCCATCTGTCCATCATTCATCCATCCACTCATTCACCCAATTATCCATCATTCATTCATCCACGCATCATTCATCTGTTCCGTCTACTTTATCCACCCATGTATCCATCATTCATCCATCCACTCATCCACCCATCTACCCATCATCCATCCATTTATTCATCCACCTATCATCCATCCATCCATTAATCTGACCATCCGTCCATCCACCACCCACCCGTCATCCAACCATTGACCCGTCCATCCATTACCCACGCGTCCATCCCCCCATCCCTCCATCTATCCGTCCTGCCCCAGGGCTGGGGAGATGGCTCAGTGGGCTGGAGCACATGCCTTCTGTACTGCCCCAAACTGGAGCCAAGTGTTGCCTGAGCACTTGCTGGGTGCCAGACGTGCTGTTTCGTGCTCTCTTCCAAAGCCTCTTCGTTTGCCCTTCCTTACTTTCCTGAGGGACTGGCTCGATGAGCCACGGAAAGACCAGCTGTAAACCCTGGAGGCACCTTGTGCCAATCGCTGCACCTCTTTGAGCTCACAGCCCTGTGGGTAAGATAAAATAGTCTGGTCAGGCTTCCTCTGAGGACCAGCTGAGAGGCTCTGCAGCGGCACAGGGCGCCTCTGATCTGCAGCCTGGAGCTCTGCCGCCACCTGGTGGTGTGCCTGGTTTCCTGCCCTTCCTCTTAGTCCCCTATGAAGCCCCTTCCCCTCTCCTCCGCTCTTCCTCTCCTTTCCACTCCTTCCTACTTATGGAGAATTAGTGCAGAGGTAGGGCGCTTGCGTTGCACGTTGCTGACCTGGGTTCCATCCCCAGCACCCCGTATAGTCCCCCGGGCCCCGTCAGGAGTGATCCCTGAGTACAACGCAGTCAGATGTGCCCCCCTCCCCGAATCAGTAGAAAGCAAAGTTTCTGCCTTTACTTTGTCTGACAAGGCCTACCCAGAGTTATTGTAGAAACGCGAACAATATTTTAGGTGATATTTTAAGTAAGATGAGAACTTCATAAATATAATTTTTAATGGCAGTGCTTTGCTCAGTGGTAAATGCCAGCACCAGCCCAATTTTACAGAAAAATGAGGATTGGAGGGTTGAAGTGTCTTGTCCAAGTCCTCATGGCTTTTGAGTGACAGAACCTCAGTGGCTGTCTAGAGCTGCATGACCTCAGATGCATACATATTATCTCTGTCTGTTTGTTTGGGGGCAACTTCCAGCAATGCTAGGGGCCCCCTGCCCAGTGCTCTGGAGACAGTAAGGATCTAGTCCCAGGTCTTGCACATACAAAGCCTGGCTCCAGTCCCGGAGTCCCAGCAGAGTGCAGGAGTCTTTTTTTTTTTTAATTTTTTTAAAAAAAATTATTAGTGAGACACCATGAGGTACAGTTGTAGACTTACAAATTTTTGTGCTTGGGTTTCAGTTATACAATGACTGAGTACCCATCCGGCCACCAGTGCCCATTCTCCACTACCAATGATCCCAGTATCCCTCCCACCCCCCCATCCCACCCCACCCCTGTGGCAGGACATTCCCTTTTGTTCTCTCTCTCCTTTTGGGTGCTGTGGTTAGTGCAAGAGCATTTAATGATCTGTATGTGCCCAGAACACCCCAGGCAGTGAGTGGGGCGGGGTGCTGGTCTGCTGGTGCCCATGGGTGTGGGGAACAACGGGAGAGCCTCCTGCTGGAGTGGAGTTCTTCCTTTGCTGCACATTTGAGCACCCCAGGGCGCCGCTCCTCCTAACTGCATTTCTTGGGATGGAGGAAGTGGCAGTGGCTGCTGGTGAAGCCCAGGCCTTCCGATGAAGCTGGGGAGGCTTCTCTGGCTTTTGTGCTGGAGTCCCGGGGACGTGGGGGGCGGGTATGAAGGTCAGAGCCAGAGCCAGCCGCAAAGGACCTTCCCAGGTGAGCGGTCCATCAGGGTCCGCAGTGGGAGGAGGGCGCAGCGTCCCCTGCTGGCCGGCCCTGCCGCAGCCGCCGTGTGTCCTGTGTGCAGCCGAGCCCTGCGTGGGGGACAGGTCAGTCTTCTGCAGCGTGGACGTGCTCGGCCGCTACTGCTCCATCGCCGGCTACCGCCGACTGTGCTGTGAGACCTGCGCCCGGCGGGCCCTGGACCCCACCCCCGGCCCTGACCCCAGCTCGGCCCCGCCGACCACCCTCTCCACGCCTGGGAGCCCCCAGCCCGGACCCACAGCCCCGCCTGACATCGCCGAGCGCACCGAGGGGACCAAGGGGTCCGACGACCCTCTGGGCAGCCCGCACACGCCTCTCCCGGGAGCCCTGGACATGAGCTCCCCCACGACGCAGAGGCCGGGACCCTCTGTGTCAGGGAGCACTTCCTGCAGCCCCACGGGGGGCCCACCCTGGACGCCCCCCGAGGCCTCGCCGCCCACCTCCGGGGGTCAGGACCCCGAGCACCCGGGCACCAGCTTTCCCACCACCGCCCCGGTGACATGAACCCCACCCTCGCCCCCACCCGTCAGGTTTACACTGTGGGGGTGGCTGCCCCAGACCCTGCTGTGGGGACCCCCGCCCTCCCTCCCGGCTACTTGCCTGCTTGAGGGCTGCGACCCCTTCCTCCTGCAAAGTGAGCCTTGGAGGAGGAGGAGGTTGGGGTGCCCAGCACTGCAGCCAGGCTGTTGGGGGCTCCTGCCTCTCTGGCCTTCAGAGGGAGGCTATGGACACCCCCGTAGCCTGACCATGGAATCTGTCACTGAGGGTCCCTCGGGTGAGTGAGGGGAGAGGATGTGGAGGTACTGTGGGCTTGAGGCTCCTGCTGAGGGCTGGGGTGGCTGGGGGCCCAGTCCAGACCCAGGGGGGCCGTCATTGCTGTCTCAGTCCCTCACAGGCCTGGTGCTCTGGGGACCCCTCCTCCAGCCTCACCACAGCTACATGAGAAGGGGTGTCAGCCTCCGCCAGGAGGGCCCCAACATGTGCCAGGCCCGAAGAGCGACTTTGGGCACCGATGCTGACCGGTAGGGGCCGGCCAGGCAGGGGACCTGGAGGGCTGCTCTGCTCTCAGACTGCACCCCAATGCCCAGCCCTGCTCAAGATCACCCCTTGGAGGCTGGGGTCCCCTCCCACCTGACTGCGGCCGACCCAGAGGTTTGGGGCACTGGGTTGAGGCTGGGACAGGCCCCATGATTAAGAACTAGTCCTTGAGGCCCCTCCTGGAGGTAAGCCACTGAGGCCCTGGGGGGTCGAGGACAGTGACCGCCCATGGCAGGAACTTTCCTAGACCCTGTGTGGAGCATTCAGGATGTGATCTGGCTCCACCAGGGGATTCCCGAGACTCCCGCAGGGCTCCACGCTGAGTCCTGCAGTGGGTTCCCAGACTGCTGGGTGAGCGGTGCTTGCCTGTTTCTCCTTCCGGTGGGGAGGGGTGTTCTGAGCCAGCCTAGAAGACCCGGTCAGTGGGTCTCCCTGCCCCCCCCCCCAGGGAAGAGAGGGTGCAGAGCTGCTCCTGGGTGCCCACCTTACTGCAGCCCGGCTCCCCTGGGGTGCTGGCTCCACACTGGGGTCTCCCACAGGCCGACCCCGCCCGCCACGTGAGGGCCATCAACTCTCGTGCCTTTTGGTTTTCTGTATTTATTAACATTGTCCTTGGTGTTTTATTTTGAACCCCAAAATATTGTGCTGTGGTTTCCCTTTCTATTCAGAAACAATTTAAAGTGATTCTGGTTTACAGTTCTGTATAGTATGATTAATTTTGCATAGGGGCTCAAGGAAAATGTGCCATCTGGCAAAATATTTATTTCAGAGGCTGAAAAGAACAAGGTATTTACTAGAAACTCGCACTTTCCTGGTGCAGGGACTGGGGGATGGGGGCGGGTGCCTTGTCATTTGGTGAAAAGTCTCCGCTGAGCTCTCCACCACACTTGCCATCGGGTGGGCTGGTGGCAGGGAGAGTCCCAGAGCAGACCAGAACAGGAACCCCTTGATGGGGGTGGGGGTGGGGAACGGGTGCTGGCTCTTAATTCGAGTGAAAGGGAAAGTGGGTTTGGGGGAATAGCAATGAGCAGGGGTGGGGTGTGTGTGACGGGACTGACAATTTTGAGGAGGTCATGTAAGAGGAAGAGGATTTCTGGCTAGACTGACCCTAGTAGGGGTCTTGCTGAAGGAAGGCCAGGGTGGCCTGACATCAGCTGGAGGCAGCTGGGGGCTCATATGGGTTAGTGGTTTAGTATCATGCTTCTTCAAAGTGTACCCTACCACTCCCCACCAGAGCACCCGTATCCGCCCACCAGAGTTGGGTGGGAAGCCCCCCGACAGCCCTATTACAGTCCCTCTTCTTCCCACAGCCCGCCCCCAAAACCCTCAGTTCTGGGTGCGGCCAGAATCCAAGGCTTGGTTTTCATTTGGCCCCGTGTGTCCCTTTGCTATTGCCCCTCAGTATCTCACATGTGCAGGAGATCCACTTGCTAAATGTCTTTCTCCTGTGACTTCTTTCACTTAGCATGACCCCCTCCAGCGCCATACACGGTCACCACAAAAGACATGTTTCGCGTTTTTCAATGACTGTGTAATATTTCCTTGCAGATAGAGCCCGCGTTTCCTGTGTCTGCTCACTGACAGTGACCTTTGTTCCTGCATGTCACTGACTCAAGAAATAGCACTGCAGGGACCCTTGGTGTGCCTGTAGGTTTTGGATGTAGCGCATTGTGTTCTTTGGAAAGAATCCTCAGAGTGGATTACCATAAGCTGGATCTTATGGTAGTTCTGTTTTTCAATTTTCTGGAGAAATCTCCATGCTCTTTTCAGTAGAGGCTGAACCATTTTATATTCCAGTGAAAGACAGTTCCTTTCCTGTATGTCCCCTGACACTTGGTTCTGCTGTTAAAAATTACATATATATATATGTAAATTGTATATAAATAAATTTAGATCTTTTGATCTGTAGATCAAAAGATCGCATGACCGCCCGCCTACAAGATGGTCAGACTTCTTTGTCAAGACCCTGAATGATTGGTTTGAGGCTCTTCGTGTTCCTGGAGCGAGCAGACGCCATTGGGCTACCCTAGCACACAACAGGGATGAAAGGAGATGTTACTGGTGCCCGAAACTTGGGGGATCTCTCAAGCAGTGATTAGGGCGTCTGGGGGCTGATACTCAGCCAACCAGTCTGGAACAGTTCAATAATGGGCCTGGGCTTCTTGGGCCTGGTGGTGCTGGGGGCCATCAGCACAACCCCAGCAGTATCTGGGGGATCACTCAGTGCTGAGGATTGAACTCGGATCCTGCAGGCAAGAATCACTGGCCACTAAGTGTCCACCCACTCATTTCTGACTTTAGATGTTAACGTTTTTGCAGCTGGGAGGTAGCTTCTTGTTGTGGTTCCATTTCTGAATTAGTGAGTGCAATGGACATTTGTTGGTATGCTCCTGTTGGTCATCTTTCTGTCTTCTTGGGTATCATCTCTTCAGCTCTTCTTCCCATTTTCCTGATGGGCTGGTTTGGTGTCTTATTGGTGAGTTTTGTGAGTTTCTAAAATTTATTGAATATTGTCACTTTGTCGGATATATAGTATTTTGAATATTTTCCCTTTTAAGTAGGACATCTTTTAAAAAATATATATATATATAAGTTTCTTTCACTATCAGAAAATTTTTAGTTTGATGCATTTTTTTGTTTGTTTATTTTGGGGCCACACTTGGCGATGCTCAGGGGTAACTCCTGGCTCAGCACTCAGGAATTGTTGCTGGCAGGCTCAGGGGACCATAGGATGTTGGGGATCTAATCCAGGTCAACTGTACTCAAGGCAAGTGCCTTACTGGCTGTACCGTCTCTCCGGCCCTTAGTATTTTATGGTTTCAGATCTAATATTCAAGTTTAGCCCATTTTTAGTTTTGTGTATGGTTTAAGATAGTGATAGTTAAAAAATAGTGATAGTTATTATTTTTTATGTGAATATCCAGTTTCCCCAAAGTCATTTATTCAATAGACATTCTTTTTTTTCACTTTAGTTCTTGGTTCCTTTATCATAAATTAGCTGTCTAATTCTTCGATCTCAGTTCTATTCCATTGATCTGTGTGCCTGTTCAGGTTATACCACAGCACTGTTTTGGTTACTCTGATTTAGTAACATAGTTTGAAGATGGGGAATATGGTTCCTCCATTCTTTTTTTAAATCTCAGAATAACTTTGGTGATCCGGGATTTTCTCCATTTAAAGTTTGGTCATATCTGTTCTCTTTTCTTGAAGAATGCCTTTGGGATTTCATAGGGTCTGTATTGGTTCTCTAATAAAGCTTTGAATAAGGTGAACATTTCAATAATGGTAATTCAACCAGTCCATGAACATGGGTCCTTTTTCCATTTCCTTGTGTCTTTTACTATTTTTTAACAATGATTAAAATTTTGAGGTCGCAGAACTTCACCTCCTTCATCAAGTTCATTTCTTGATACTCAATTCTTTGTGATCTGATTGTAAATTATAGTTCTTATTTCTTTCTCTTCTAATTTGTTGCTTCCATGTAGAAATGCACCCTGTTTTTATATATTGTTTTTATGGCCTGTCATTTTATGCTGTATTGGTTTATTTGAATAATCTTTTAATGTAGTCTTAAGGATTTAGGAGTATATTATATGTCATCTACAATAGTGATAGTTTTACTTAAAAAAAAAACCAAACCTTTGCATACCTTTTATTTCCCTTCTAATTGCCATGGCTTGAATTTCCAATACTGTGTTGGATAAGAGTATTGGATAATAGTGGTGCATTTTCTCTTTGAATCGCAAGAGAGGGAAGACAAAGATGGAGCTAGGAAGTGCTGTCCTGGGCTGGGTGAGAGCAAGAAGAGTCGATGGGCAGGACATAGTTTGTGCCACTCAAGAATTGAGCCCCTCACTCTGGGACTGCAGTGAGCACCACGTCAGGGCGGAGAGCTGAGAACACATCTGGGGCTTTGGGGGTTCCACACAGATTCCACCACCGATTCACTGGGTGACCTTGGAGTGGTGGCCACCCAGAATTTGGTGCTGAGGCTGGAACACTTGGGGGCCGACCTGAGGGGAAGCCTCGTGTGTTAGCAGAGCTGTTCAGACAGCGGGTGAGTGTTCTTCTCTGGAAAGATCCAAGTCGCGCGTTGCTGCCAGGTAACAGGGGGAGGAGTAGGATGTGTCTGTGCGCAGGAGACCCAAATTACGTGGGGGTGTGGGTACCATGGGGGGGCACGCCTTGGCCCCTCACCCAAGTCAGACTTCACTGACCTATCCCTGCTTTCCTTCGATGAGTGTGACATGCCTGTCCCTAACATAAGTGGGGGGCCGGAGCGACAGTGCAGTGGGTAGGGTGTTTGCCTTGCATGTGGCCAACCCAGGTTTCATCCCCGGACCCCCTATGGTCCCCCGAGCACCACCAGGAGTCATTCCTGAGTGTAGTGCTAGGAGTAACCCCTGAGCATCGCTGGGTGTGACCAAAAAAGCCAAACAAAACAAAACAAAAAAAAACCCAGAACC